ATGTTTAGGTTATTTATTTATATTATAATATTATTATATTATTTAATTAAATATTGAGTTGCATAATTAATCAATTACTTCTTAACATATTTTAATTATTTCATAACATATTAATATAAAATTTGTTATATCTTTAATCTCACATAAAATATATATTTTTCAATAATATATTTTTGTACCAAATAAATGGGATCCTCACATCAATCCTATTTTTTTCATTCTCTCTTTTTAGATCACATGTCTTCTCTAAAATTTAAGTTTTTAAATCGCGTGCTATGATACTTTCGATCTAGGCAAACAATTCTCTCTTTCAGTTGCATGAACCCGTTGCACTTGTATCTTTTTCAATGCCCAACAATAATATTTTCTGAAATGGTAATTTTAGATCATTAATAAAGAAATTTATTAAAAAAACATCTAAATAAAAAAATTTCTCTGACCGATGGTATTCAAGATTGTGCTAGTTAATTTGCTTAATAGTAACCGAAAATTTTACAATTTGTAAGTATTATATTGTTCACTTCACAAAAAAATAAAAATAAATAAATAAATAAAAATCTAGGAACTTGGATAAGTGGAAGAAATTAAGTTACTATCATTGAAGTATATACAATTTTTTTTTTTTTTTTTTTTTTTTTTTTTTTTTTTTTGGGTTAAAGCACTGAAGCGTACACTAGAATGCTCTGATTGGTACCTTGATTTCTTTCCCAGCATTTCTTTTTTCTTTTATGTTATATGATTTTTTGTTCGATTTTCTACATTTTCGTGCTGATTAGACTGAAAATAATAGTGTTGATAGGCATGCCTTTTTCTTTCAAAAACAAAGATCAAGTCCATGGTATTGGCTTTTCTTTTCTTCCTCGTTTCCTTTTTTTTTTTTTTTTTTTTTTTTTTTTTTTTTTTTTTTTTTTTTAAGTTTAACTCTATTTTTCTTTCAAAACGAGGCATATGAATGCTAAATTTATTTATTTAATGGTGATGAAAAACAAAATAGTAATTTTCTAAACTATTGCAAATAGAGTCTACACAAAGACATTTTTTTCAGGTTGATTTCATGAACTCTTCTTTAAATTATGACATTTTAAACACAAAAATATTGCAAGTAACATCCTCTCGTAGCCAGTACTAAAATTATTTATTTGTAAAAAAAAAAATTAGCCACAATTTAATTAGATTTTCATTTGAATAAATGTACACAACAATATAATTGAGAAAACTAATGAAAACTATCATGAGATTACTTCATGATAGCATTACTCAATTATTTATATATATATACATATATATATAAAGAGTAATATTCTCCCTAAATTATTAGATTGAGATAATTTTTTAGTAATTCTGCATTACTAACATTTATTTTGACACATGGTACTCTGCTAGATTAAAACTTATCATAATAAAAGCTTCTCATTAATTTTGAAACCCACCGCTGGAAAAAAGAGGTACCGTGGTGCCAAAATACCAGTTGGGTATTGTAAAATTTCTTACACTGACTTAATTTATTTTAAAAAAATAATTATAATATATATATATATATATATATATATATATATGTTATGTTAATTTGTAGTAAGGGAATGGATGTTGATACTATTCCTAATATTGTAATCATAAAACAACTAATGAATGATACAACAATGAACATGAATCACATGATGTAGATCCTTCTTCTTGTTTAAAATATCAAAAATTAAAAATAAAAAAAAAATGGAAAAAAATAAAAATAAATATATTTCTCTAATATCATCCAGACTAAGAATGAGAAGGCAATAGCCTTGTTTCAACTTTCAAGAAACAAGTTGTAACAGTCGACTCCTCCTAGTCGTTGTCGTGGTGGTGGTGTCGTCGGCTTCTTTGTGAATCCAATCGAGTAAGAACCTGCAACAAACGCTGAACAACCCAATTGCTATATCGAAGAGACCATTTTGGGTTGCAAATAATCTATCAAAATATACGAAAAGTGAAACCAAAAAGAGTAACGTTACTGTAGAACCCAAAACGGTCTCGTAAACAATCACAGGATTTGACATCACTCCACGAATTTTAGCCATTAATTTAGCCATAGTTCGTGCACTCCAAACCATTACCAGAACCCTCACAAACCCCACACACATATATAAAAATTATTTTGTTATTTAATCAATGACAAATTTATTGGTTAAATACATAAAAGGATATATTAGGTTGGATGTAGTGTGATTGTCCATTGGTAAGGCATGTGTTGCTTGTGACGAAATTCAAATCTCCACTCCATCAATAAATTTAACAAAAAAAAAAAAAAAAAAAGAATATAATAAGTTATGAAATTATTTTGTTATTTATTTCAATGACAAATTTATTGTTTATGTACATATAAATATATATTATGTTGGATGTAGTGTGATAGCCTAGTGGTAGGGCATGTGTTACTTATGGCCAAAGGCCTAAGTTCGAATTCCCACTCCATCAATAAATTAAAAAAAGAAAGTATATAATAAGTTATTAAATTATTTTGTTTATTTATTCAATGGCAAATTTATTGTTTATATACATATAAGTATATATTATATTGGATGTGGTGTGATAGCCCAGTGGTAGGGCATGTAATGCTTGTGGCCAAAGGCCCAAGTTCGAATCCCCACTCCATCAATAAATTAGAGAAAGTATATAATAAGTTATTAAATTATTTTGTTATTTATTCAATGACAAATTTATTATTTATATATATATAAGTATATAATATATTGGATGTGGTGTGATAGCCCAGTGGTAGGGCATGTGTTACTTGTGGCCCACTCCATCAATAAATTAAAAAAAGAAAGTATATAATAAGTTATTAAATTATTTTGTTATTTATTCAATGGCAAATTTATTGTTTATATACATATAAGTATATATTATATTGGATGTGGTGTGATAGCCCAGTGGTAGGGCATGTATTGCTTGTGGCCAAAGGCCCAAGTTCGATTCCCCACTCCATCAATAAATTAGACAAAGTATATAATAAGTTATTAAATTATTTTGTTATTTATTCAATGACAAATTTATTATTTATATATATATAAGTATATATTATATTGGATGTGGTGTGATAGCCCAGTGGTAGGGCATGTGTTACTTGTGGCCAAAGGCCTAAGTTCGAATCCCCACTCCATCAATAAATTAAAAAAAAAAAAAGTATATAATAAGTTATTAAAATATTTTGTTATTTATTCAATGGCAAATTTATTGTTTATATACATATAAGTATATATTATATTGGATGTGGTGTGATAGCCCAGTGGTAGGGCATGTATTGCTTGTGGCCAAAGGCCCAAGTTCGAATCCCCACTCCATCAATAAATTAGATAAAGTATATAATAAGTTATTAAATTATTTTGTTATTTATTCAATGACAAATTTATTATTTATATATATATAAGTAAATATTATATTGGATGTGGTGTGATAGCCCAGTGGTAGGGCATGTGTTACTTGTGGCCAAACGAATCCCACTCCATCAATAAATTAAAAAAAGAAAGTATATAATAAGTTATTAAATTATTTTGTTATTTATTCAATGGCAAATTTATTGTTTATATACATATAAGTATATATTATATTGGATGTGGTGTGATAGCCCAGTGGTAGGGCATGTATTGCTTGTGGCCAAAGGCCCAAGTTCGATTCCCTACTCCATCAATAAATTAGAGAAAGTATATAATAAGTTATTAAATTATTTTGTTATTTATTCAATGACAAATTTATTATTTATATATATATAAGTATATATTATATTGGATGTGGTGTGATAGCCCAGTGGTAGGGCATGTGTTACTTGTGGCCAAAGGCCTAAGTTCGAATCCCCACTCCATCAATAAATTAAAAAAAGAAAGTATATAATAAGTTATTAAATTATTTTGTTATTTATTCAAGGCAAATTTATTGTTTATATACATATAAGTATATATTATATTGGATGTGGTGTGATAGCCCAGTGGTAGGGCATGTATTGCTTGTGGCCAAAGGCCCAAGTTCGAATCCCCACTCCATCAATAAATTAGATAAAGTATATAATAAGTTATTAAATTATTTTGTTATTTATTCAATGACAAATTTATTATTTATATATATATAAGTAAATATTATATTGGATGTGGTGTGATAGCCCAGTGGTAGGGCATGTGTTACTTGTGGCCAAAGGCCTAAGTTCGAATCCCACTCCATCAATAAATTAAAAAAAGAAAGTATATAATAAGTTATTAAATTATTTTGTTATTTATTCAATGGCAAATTTATTGTTTATATACATATAAGTATATATTATATTGGATGTGGTGTGATAGCCCAGTGGTAGGGCATGTATTGCTTGTGGCCAAAGGCCCAAGTTCGATTCCCCACTCCATCAATAAATTAGACAAAGTATATAATAAGTTATTAAATTATTTTGTTATTTATTCAATGACAAATTTATTATTTATATATATATAAGTATATATTATATTGGATGTGGTGTGATAGCCCAGTGGTAGGGCATGTGTTACTTGTGGCCAAAGGCCTAAGTTCGAATCCCCACTCCATCAATAAATTAAAAAAAGAAAGTATATAATAAGTTATTAAATTATTTTGTTATTTATTCAATGGCAAATTTATTGTTTATATACATATAAGTATATATTATATTGGATGTGGTGTGATAGCCCAGTGGTAGGGCATGTATTGCTTGTGGCCAAAGGCCCAAGTTCAAATCCCCACTCCATCAATAAATTAGATAAAGTATATAATAAGTTATTAAATTATTTTGTTATTTATTCAATGACAAATTTATTATTTATATATATATAAAAGTATATATTATATTGGATGTGGTGTGATAGCGCAGTTGTAGGGCATGTGTTACTTGTGACCATGGAAAAGGGATAATTTGTCTTGAACCTCGAATATTTCTTCTTCATTCAATGTCTGACACTGAACATTAAACGATGCATCAATATAATATTAAATAAAAACTGCCAATGCATGATCAATAAGGTATCAGAATTAAATTAGAGCCTTAGTTCAATGGTTGCTCGGATTTCTGTGACCATGAAGTCAAGCGCAAGCTTGTATTTTAACACTTGTTATAGTGGGATTAGAATTATCAACACATTATTCACACCCTATCTGCCTCATTTAGAAAACTCAGAAACAGGATAGCAACTCTTTGATTTAACCAGTGAAAAAAGTTCTTAGTATTTGCCTCAGTGGCAAAAGCACAGATAAACCTCTCCAAAAGGGTACTCTTGGGAAAATGAAGATAGGAACTTTCATAGGATATACCTCTCCCTCCAAAAGGATCCTCCTGGGAAAATGAAGATAGGAACTTTCGTAGGATATATTTAAATATCATTGATGCTGAAACCTCCTTCTCCTCAAACAGTCACAAGAATCAGCATTCAGAGTTGACAACATATATATAAAATAAATATAAAAAACAAAATGGCAGCATTAAGAAAACTAGAAAAACAATTTGAAATTATAAAAAGCTGAAACTAAAAAAAGGCCAATAAAACTGAACCAACTAATAATGTGAGAACTATTTTCTTACCGAGTCTGAAGTTGATTCCTGCTTTGGGATTGTAAGTGTAGTAATATGGAATACCCTGTTTTTCTACAGACAGAATAAAAAAGAACATAAGAAATTACACTTATAAAAAATCAAAGATAGCAGCTTTTTCATATTTTCAGAAACTTTGTGCTAATTACCAGTAAGCCAGCAAGCAAGCACACCACATGTTTCTAAGTTTTTTGCTGTATTTGCTTGTGCCAATCTCAAAAAATCTTCCATCATCTTTACCGACTGCAATAGGAGTAAAATGATATTAACATCACATTTATCAACAACATAAATACGCAAGATTAAAGAAGTTTGTCAGCATCAACTGTTAACAAAAAAATTGTAGCTCAAAAATCAGCACAAGGCATACAATGTGTAAATGCTGATAAGAATTAGAACCAGGAATCTCATCCTTGGATGGATTCGCAGGCCCGGGTTTTGGATCCGTAACTCTTGACGGGGAGATTGGAACAATATCTGGTTGTACTTGAGCAAGCACAGGAGGTGGAGAAGGTTGCCTGATATTGCCCAGTGGAAGATAATTTCTCCTTGCTTCAATATTAAATGGAGGACAGGAATCCACTGAAGGAGATACCCATCTACCATCATCTAAGGAGAGCACTGATTCCATGGTAGATCTATTCACTTCCAAATCGCCATCTTTTACTGCCACGATGTCGTATTGTCCAGCCTGATTCAGACTATAACAATAGGTGACACCAGATAAAAAAAATATTACAAGCAGGCAACTTTAGAAAAATATAATTAGCATAAAGTATCAAGAGCAATATTTGAGGCAGTTCTCTCAAATGCTACAAAAAGAATATTAACTAGGACCTCAAACCAGGTACAATAAAATAAGTAAGAATTTGCAGGTTAAAATAGGAATCATCGAGTTTTGTTGAAGTCCTGACCCTGAATTTTCATCTGCAGTTAAGTCCATATTGCTTGGATAATGAACCTGTATTACATAATGGAATTGATCAATTCAAGGAATTTTAATTTAATACTAGATAAAATGCCATGAATGAATTTTACCTTTATCTCTGCACTAGGACCCAGCCACCGACCTTGAAGACCATCTGGGCCTAAAATTGAGTGTCTAGACAATGTTTCCTTCTTGGGAAGAGGTAGACTAACAGATCTGCATGTCAACCATGTACCATAATGTCACCCTTCCGAGAATTAGAAAAAACAGAGATGTTTAAAATTTTAAATTCACATTTACAAATCAGTATCAACAAGATACAGCCTAATCGTCTTCAAACTCGTGCAAAAATATTTTGTACGCAGTTTAGATAAAAGCAACTATCAGAGAAATTAAAAATACAAATCGAAGGAATACAGACATACACCTTTATATATGCTGGTGGAGTCTCTGGAGATCTCTGAACCCAATTAGGAGTACGAGTCCAAAAACAAAAATTTATACCTTCCACTAATGGAACTCATCTAAACCAACCATAAAGTATAGACCATATACCATGACCCAATAACATAACATGAACTGCACCAGGACTTGCAACTACAGCTTATAATTGAGAAAACCTACAAATTATAATAATACCCTTGATTTCTAAAACACAGTGCTTTTTTCTGCATATTATTTGTCACGCCATATTTCCATTTTTGGATGTCCAGCATAGATGGACACTTCAAAAAATCAAATTATAGATTGCTGTAAGATTCCTATATTACACTTTTCTAATTGAATTTGAATGCAACAACTAGCATGAAATTTTGAACAAAGGATTAGTCTTGAAAGTTTTTACTTTCACTTTTACAATGCATTCAATGCTTGCAAACTTGAAATTGTAAAAATGGAAAAAATAGTACAGGATGGAGTAAAAAACTCATCTAGTAGCATATAACCTAAAAGATTACGAAAGGTATAACCATGCATGACTCAAAAAGAAAATAGCATGGTCCCAAGTGTCTGCATATCATCTAACATGTGCCATATCAAAGCTTCATTCTCGGAAACATTCTTATACCTGTAAAGTGCATCTCCACTTTTCTCCATCATAGTTCTAGCCTTCTAGGTATTCAACTCTCAAAGCTATGTTCCCATACCATACATCAATTCCAACAACGAACCTAGGATGACCTAAAAGATCCACCACCCCTTCATAAGACCAACCGCAGAAAATTCCTGTAATCCCTCCAAACCCAACCACCCAACTGCTCCAATATTTCCCTCCACCAACCTTCTCCATAAGATATCCCAAATTAAACATACACGATCAATCCCTTGATAAAAAAACCTCTGTCATTAACTGAATAACAAACAACATACCGTTGCATTTAAACTAATTCCTGAAAATTAAAAACAAACTCGCAAAAGTTGCAATATGCTATAAATTTTAAAGCTGGAATCATTGATCCTTCATTGTCCAACAGAAAAATCAAAACTCATAAACAGAGACACTTCTACAAAATTCTATGTCTGCATCGGACATTAACACTTTGCAAACACTCCTAGACATGCATTCAACACAATCTTTTGAGTTTAGTTAACACCATTGAGGACCGTTCTCTCAAAATGAGACATAGAGTACTCTGGAAATGGGCAGTCACACAGTAAGTGAAGACAACAAAAGCCATAAAGGATAGTGGCACTCATGGAATAGGATAGAGAAATCACCGTTTGATGACTATAACTTCACCCATGACATATAAAGACCACAAATTCCAGTAGCAACTTCCAAAAATACAAACTTAACAAGTATTATAGAAAGCACAAGCCAACGAACATTATTTACAGGCCTCAAAACCCTAAAACATGATGTTACCATTGAACAGTGTACTCACAGCTTCTGGAACTGCATGTCAATAGAATTTGATGGCAAAACCCGAGTCTGACCATTGTTTTGCATCCGTGAAGACAAAAGCGCCATCCTAACTGGCTAAGACCACAAGAAGAAAGAAAAAGAATGAGGAGGAAAAAAAAATTTGGAACAAAATTTTGGAAAACATAATGACTGAAATTAAATTAAGAAAGAAAGGACACGACGACTTAGCAGACATTATAACTGATATGCTCCTAGGAATAAGGACAATAAATAAATGCATAGCAAATGAATCCATAAAAATTAAATATTAAAAGAACCACTCATTGAAGGATATAAAATAAGAAAAAGGAAAAAGAATTGTTCATAACACTCTAAAGTAAACATAAGTAAGACTTTAAAACACCATGTACTGGCTAAATACCTGGTTATTATCTATGCTCAAAGAAACTTCCCTATTGACAGATGGCCATTCCAGAGAAAATGCATCTGAACCATATGTTCTTTCTCGGCCATCAAGTTGATAGTGTTGAGCTCTTGCAAAAGCTTTGTTCATTTCATTCACTCGACGGTCGAATTCTGGCTTCAAAGATTCAAGCTCATCTAATACAGCTAACAGTTTCTGAAACAACAACATAACAGCAAGAAGATGCCGTGTCACCATGAATCTGAAACATATAAATAGAGTAGCTACGAAAACAGGTACACCCTACTCACCTTCCTGTAATATGTTCTCTCTTTTGTAAGAAAAACCTGGTAATCTCGATGGAATGGTATTGTTTCAGACACCAAACTGGGAAAATGAAGAATAAGCACATGCATCCATATGTCTCATAAATTCAGCAATATGGAAAAAACTGACAGCAACATTCATTCCTCACCTTGAATACCTAAGAAGTATGATATACAAGTCTACAATATTCCTTTCCCCCCGATAAATACTTGCCTGGACACAAGTGATATGCCAAGAAATAAAGTAATTTACATCAGAAAACAGCAAAAAAAGAGAGGCTCAATTTTATGTTGCTTAAGAAATTGAGTTACTGTAAATCAATGCCCTTATTCCAAAAAAGGGAGGTGCTTCAGATATAAAGGATTTTCGTCCTATTAGTTTGGTGGGCTGCATTTACAAACTCATTGCTAAGGTGCTCGCTTTAAGGATGAAGGAAGTTATGGATGGAATTATTTCGGATTCCCAGAACGCTTTCGTTGGCGGACGACAAATTCTTGATTCAGTTCTTATTGCTGGCGAATGTGTGGATTCCAGATTGCGGAGTGGTATTCCTGGAGTTCTATGCAAACTTGACATTGAGAAAGCATATGATCATGTGAATTGGAATTTCCTACTCTATTTGTTACAAAGAATGGGGTTTGGAAGTAAGTGGAGGAAATGGATTGAGACCTGGCTTTCGTCTGTCAAGTTTTCAATTCTTGTGAATGGCTCTCCCGCCAGTTTCTTTGGTTGCTCTAGAGGTATAAGACAAGGTGATCCTTTGTCATCTTTCCTTTTTCTTGTTGTTATGGAGGGGTTAAGTAGACTGATGCATAGGGCAGAGGACCTTGGTTTTGTTAAGGGTTTCAGAGTGGGTAGAGATTTAGACCATCAGATGGAGATTTCCCATTTACTCTTTGCAGATGACACCCTAGTTTTCTGTGATGCTGATGTGTCTCAACTTCGACACTTGAGGTGTGTTCTGACTTGTTTTCAGGCAGTTTCCGGGCTAAAAGTCAATGTGACAAAGAGTATGCTCGTCCCAGTAGGGAATGTTCCGGATATTTCCTCTTTAGCTGCAGTCCTTGGATGCAGAGTGAGCTCATTCCCTATTCCTTATTTGGTTTGCCCCTAGGGGTCTCTTCTAGTTTAGTGGGGAGTTGGGATTCTGTGATTGACAGGTACGCGAAGAGATTAGCAGGTTGGAATAAGCAATACTTGTCAAAAGGGGGTAAAGTTACTCTTATAAAGAGCACCTTGTCGAGCCTTCCCACTTATTTTCTCTCTATGTTCCAAATCCCTTGTTCCATTGCAGACAGGATTGAAAAAATTCAAAGGGATTTCCTTTGGGGTGGTAAGGGCGATGAGTTCAAGTACCACCTTGTCAAATGGGAGGATGTTTGTAAGCCTGTGAAATTGGGTGGACTTGGTATAAGAAGTTTAGTTCCTTTCAATCAAGCTCTCTTGGGTAAGTGGTTATGGAGATTTGGGAGGGAAAGACATCGACCATGGCGCAGGCTAGTCTCTTGTCGGTTTGGCGAAGAGGCTGGAGGTTGGTCTACGCGTCCGGTTACCCTAGCGGGAGGAGTAGGGATGTGGAAGGCTATTCGGAAAGGATGGGATGTTTTTTCGGCTCATATCAGATTCAAACTCCATGACGGACGTTGCATTCAGTTTTGGGAAGATCTCTGGTGTGGGGATCAGTCACTTTCTCGTACTTTTCCAAGATTATATAGCATTGCCGTTAATAAACACGCCTACATAGTCGACTGCTATCGGCTTGATAGCGGCGGGATTATATGGGATGTGCATTTTCGGCGCTCTTTTCAGGATTGGGAGATGGACGAGGTATGTGTTTTTTTGGATCTTCTGTATCGACAGGAGGGCGTTGGTAGAGGTAATGATGTTTTAAGTTGGGTTCCCTCTTCTCATGGTCGTTTCGAAGTTAGATCTTTGTTCTTATGTTTGTCAAATTTTGTTAATCGAGACTTCCCGTGGAAAACTATTTGGCGGTCTATGGCTCCAACTAGGGTGGCTTTCTTTGTTTGGACTGCTGTGTGGGGAAAGATTCTGACAATTGATAATTTGAGAAAAAGGGGCAATTGTATAGTTAATTGTTGTTGTCTATGCAAGGATGGCGAGGAGTCCGTTAACCACCTCCTTTTGCATTGCCCTGTGGCGATTGACTGTTGGAATCTTATTGTTGGGTTGTTTGGTATGTGTTGGGTTATGCCACGATCTACTAAGGAATTGATTCATATTTGGAGAGGTTGTCGAGTGAGAAGAGACGTTCGCGAGTTCTGGAGAATTGTACCACATTGCGTATGGTGATGCATTTGGAAGGAGAGAAACAGCAGAATGTTTGAAGGAAAAGAATCGCCTACGGAAACGGTCAAACTTTACATTCTTCGTTCTCTCTTCAATTATGTGAAGAGGAGCTTTTGTTCTTCTTCATATGATTTAATTACTTTTCTGGATTCTTTGGGGCCTTAGCTCCGGTTCCACTTTTGTAATTGGGATGCGTTCTCCTTTTGAACGCCTTTTTTAATATTATTTTTACTTATCAAAAAAAATATATATATATATATTAGTTCATACTTATATGACAATCTAAATAAGAAAAGTTGGAGCGTTTTTAAAGCACTTTAACAGATTGAAAAAATTCAATTACTTTGAAATAAGTCACTTTATAAATGAGAAAACATGTCCTTACTTAAAGCTAATCCACTATGAACATAACTTTACAACCATGTCTAACATGTACATGCTGCTGGTAACAAGACACTTCAGATGTAAGTGCATTAGCAAAATTCAACATTGAATGTCATATTTCCGTTGTTCCCCAACTTTGTCCTTAAAAGTCTTACATTCACCGAATGACACATACTACCAAGTCCGGTTTATCAAGGTTGTTGGAAGGAGCAAACCAGCTCGTCCTCGTAGCAAACAATCTCATTCTACTGAAACTTATTAACCTCCTACATTGCATACTCATTCACTTTGAAATAAACACATCAATTGCTATCTAATATTATTTACAACAATTCGATTACAAATAACGATAACAAACTGTCAAATTTAGACTATAGCAAGATGCTTTTAATTTTATTTTATTCTCTCTCTCTTTTTTTTTTTAAATGGTGTTGCTAGGTTGGAGCAAAATTTCTTCAGTCAGAACTTCACAGCGAAACCGAGAAGTTATTGAGGCATCACAACCGTTGTATCGTTTATTTTTAAGAACGAAAATGATTTTTTTAAAGGGGAAGATGAATGCATTGAACCTAAAAAACCAAATTGAACACTTGTAAATTGCACTAAATTAACTTTTTTAAATCAAATCAGATCCATTAAACAATGATCATGAAAAACAGAGATATATAAAGAATTTGAATATCGAACAGGTATATACAAATAACCGAACCTGTTTGACAAGGTCATCGGCGATTCGGTAGTAATTGCGGAGAGCGATTCGATTGTCGACGTCGATCTTTCGAGCGACCGCATTCAAATTGAACGGATTCTCCGGAAGCGGCCTCATTTTTCGGCGTGAACAGCCGGGATTTCTGTGGTGCCGGGAGGGTTCACGGCAGAGGTAAACGGAGTCGTTCCACTCGGCGACGTAAACACCAATTAAATTGAGAGATCGATGGTCTGGACGTATCCGCTAAGTAAAACTCATCGTATTAAAAATAGGCTTGATTCTATAGTTCAATTCAATCTTCTACTATGTTTATACGTATATGTCGACATATAAATCTTTCATGAATTTTATCCCAATTTTAGGTCAAATCAATATATAAAATTAGAATAAATTCAGTTTTGCGAAATTCAACTAGTTTCAAGACGATACATTTTAGAATACTTCTGCGTAGGGATGAAAGGAGTTCTATATTCAGCTAAAAAGAGTCAAACTTCAAATCCAAATCCTTTTCTCGTTGATTTGCACCATTTTTACGCTCAAAATCAATCAGAAGGTCCAGTATCCTTCCTTAAATAATAGGAAGTATATGTTGTTCCATTATTCCAACATTATATGCTGCCCCTTCGTTAGCCCTTCAACATAAGCCCTCGTAAGGGTAAGAAATAATAGGAATGGTGCTGATTTTCATTTTTCTTCGACCTTTTTTCAGTTTCAAGCACCACCTTTTTCCTGCCTATTACTCATCTTAAAAAGCTGAAACGACCAGCACAGTCTCCAATTTAGGAGTTGGAGGTTAAGGCACTCTCCTTCAAAGGGGATAGGTGGAAGAGTAAATAATTCAAACATCTGATTATTCTTACAGATTTGAGCTATTACAAATTATTCAATATTGGAATAATCTTCTTTTGTCAATCATAATGCCCTATTCAGTATGCTTGTATCAATACTTAGAAGTCATTTTAAATCAATTATTCTCACGTACCAATGATATTGATCATGATGCGCTCCACGAGACATGCGATATGCAAAAAATTTGGCGAAAGACTTCCAAGGGTAATTTTTAGGAATATTTTCTTATTTTAGGGTTATAGTATCGGATAGGGATTTGAGTCGTTAGACTATCTAGTAGTTCTTTTATTATGTTCAAGAAATATACATGGCTTTGGTATAATAGTGATTTATAGCTTTATGATTGAATATTCGATTTAGTAAGTCCTTTATCTCTCTCACACACACATTCATTCTCTTTCCCCTCATGTGTCACTAGGATTTCAACTAATTCTTAGATCACAATGACAAAATTCACTTAAAAGGTGAAAGGGTTGAGATTCAAATTTTTAAAAAGCTCCATATAAAGGGATGTTATAGCTATAGCAACCACAACTATTCAGTTTAAAGTTGATTCCAACAAATGGCATGCCAGGAAATGCTGGAACGCTAAAATACCAAAATCTCAAATTAGTTTATCATGAAAATAACATAGTCCACGCCAGCAAAATTTATAAGGAATTGCAAGCATTTATAATTGGAACTCATCTTTCTGCAGGCATGGCTAATGATAGGTATTTCAATAACAAAACAAACCTCAACTCAGAAAAAATCAGCCAAGGAATTGCAAGAATTGACCCATGTCACATCAAACATTAGTTTAATTAAAAAATAAAAATAACAAAATTTATCTTTTTACATAAGATCATTAATTCCTTTAGAAAAACTCAGCTAGTTATACATGAAGAAATCTCCAAGATAGTACACACACACAAAAACAAAAACAAAAAAGCGCAGATTAAAAGAATTTTTAACTGCATATTATAACTATCCAAATTCAGAAACAGTACAAGGATATCCACCAGGAATGCATGCAGTAAAAAGCTAGGAAATAAAGGGGGGGAAAAAAGTTCAGTGTGGACAACATTGGAGTTCGTGTTATGTACCTGAAATGTACCTGATTCCACAATGCAGCAGGTAACATAGCAGCCTGGTAATCGATAGCTCCACCTACTTTCAGAGCAAAAAGCTCTACTTAGCAGCCCAACCTCATGAATATAAATCATAAGAATCTAAAGAAAAACCCATTATATGAGATAAGGTTGGGTTATAACATAATTCCCCTCTCTTTGCATCTCTTGACTATATCCTTGGCCCCTTCAGAGTAAGCTGACTGAACTAGGGCATCAATCAATGAGTGACAAGTATAAGCATCAGGAACACATCCATTTGCTTCCATAGAGAAGAACAAGTTCGTAGCTTCATCAAATCTCCCCGATTCACACAATGCCTTAATAAAAGCACAATAAGTAAAATTGTCAGGACTCAAATCTGAAGTCAACATGGTTACAAGAACCTTCTGGGCTTTCTCAATCTTATTCATTTTACAGAAACTTTGGATAAGAGTATTGAAAGAGAATATACCGGGTCTTATTCCATCATCTTGCATCTGTTTCAAAAGTTTCATTGATTTGGCAACATCCCCCACAATACATAACGAGCGGATCAAAATATTATATGTGACAGTATTTGGAATGATGCCCCACTCTGGCATTTCTGTGAAACAATCAAAATCATCCTTGATCTGGTGCACGCGACAAAGGCCATCAATTATTGAACTAAAAGTGAAAATATTTGGTCTGAAACCCTGTTCTAAGAGCATCTCCAACAACTCCCGTGCTTTACCTACTTCCCCAGTCTTGCAAAACCCGCTAATTAGAGTATTGAAAGTAACAAGGTTAGGAGCAATATTTCTTTGTTGCATCCCTCTGAAGGTCTCCAATGCTCTGTCCATCATTTTAGCTTTGGAGAAGTAATCAATTGCCATGTTATATGAGAAGACATTTGCCACAAGTCCATCCTGAATTATCTTTTTTAAATACCGAGTCCCTTCTTCATCTCGTCCGGACTTATACAGAGCCTCAGTAAGAAGAAAAAAAGTATTAAACCCCACTTTCACACCTCGATCAATAAAACCAACGAGTATCTTACATGTTTCCTCAAGGTCCAGTCCCTTAATAAAACAAGTTATTGTAACATTAAATGTTGAACTGTCAGGAAAATAACCTCTCTCGCTAGCCTTTTTCAAAAACTCCGCCGCCTCTCTCGGCAAAGAATTATTAGAAAGACAATGCAAAATAGTATCACAAGCTACTTTAGGCAAAACCGGCTTCCCCTCCACAAATCTAGATAACAGCTGAAATGCTTTCTGTGGGAATAGACAACGAAACACACCGTTAACCAATGATATATATGTGGCTTCATTTGGACTCACATTTCGCTCCCTCGTTTTCTCTAATATTCTAAACGCTCCATCAACCATTTTTGCATTACAAAACCCATCAATTAGTATCGTATAAGTAAACACATTGGGTGAATATCCCAAACCATCCATCTTTTTCAGCAAACGCATTGCCTCGTCCACTACACCAACCTTACAAACTCCATGAATGAGGATATTATATGTAAACCTATCAGGATTGCAATTATCTGACGGCATCTGTTGAAATTTCAGATAAGCTAAATCAAGTGAATTCGATTTCACTAATGCATCTATAACTGCATTATGAAATTTGCCCGAAAACTTCATCACAGTATTTTGCCAGCCCTAATCTCCCCCAACTACCAATCAAAATACAAAACAAATCTTCAGTAACCTGACACCCAGAGCTTCTAATATCTCGAATCAACTCAACTGATAAGACTACCGGACCTTTCCTATAAAGGGAATTAGCTAAGACACCCCTAATCGATTGATTTCTCGTGAACACAAGGTCGATATTCGAAACCCAGATATAAAATTTCAAAGGATGCAATGGGTTTTCCTGATTTTGTAGAATACTCACAATTAACTGATGATTCAAACTGATCCGCTTCACTTTAAACTCGTGGTTTAGCAACAAGAACCAGTCTTTACTTGAAAGTATCTGAGAAATGTACTGATGGTCGATTGGTTTTTCATGTAATTTGTGTTTATTAACTGAAATGTGACTGTTTGTAATAGAAGGCAAGTTGGGGTTTTTGAATTGAGAGTTCAATAAAGACTTACCTCTAAAAGAAGCTTCGATGTTGTTGTTGTTGGTAGGTTTGTGGTCAACAGCCGTTAAATTTTCAAAAATTGGGGATTGTTTTCGCTGATTGTGAAATTTTTCTGATTGGTTTCGGATTGCAGGTAAAGCCCTAGAAGCCAAAGAAGAAAACCCTCTCATGTCCCTTGGAACAACTGCAGATGACGAAAACCCTAGAAGAAAAGCAATTGTTGATGCATTCAGATGAATATTGACAGGATTTATGAGAGCTCCAGCCATTGGAACTCCAAAATGAACTTCATACATAGCTGGGATATTTGGTGCAATTACGGCCACCTGCCAGTGTTGGAAAAATAACAGTAAGCTGCCAAGTTTCAACAAGATCTGAAACAAATTGCACAAGGGAACAAGTACCTCACATAAATATATATTATACATGGCAAAATCATTATTCATTATTTTGCGGTTTGTAGTTTAATCTTTTAGCCACCAGATGATTTTTTTCTTATACTTTAGTCTAAAAAATATATCCTGTGATATTCAATATTAGAGAAACTTAAACATACATATTTTCATTGGTTTAATTAGAAAGAAAATTTGGTCTTGGTGACAAGGAAAAATCCTACTTAAACAACAAAAAAATGCACTGAGATGCACAACAGATATTCAAGATTATGATATTTTTAGCTTCCAGTCACCAGAGGAGTTGGCAGTGAGACATGTTTGGCTCTGGTGGATTTCAGATCAGACCAAGACTGGCTAGGTTGCATTCAAAGCAAACTTTGATATCATTACTTAGACAAATGAGTATTCTGCCGATAAAATACAACACATGTTATGTGAAAATCGAAACTATCATTATGTCTGCCCCAATGCCAATTGCTTTACAATATAAGAGCAATAAGATAATAGTGAAGATTATAGATCTAATAAACTTAGCTCCACCGTAGCCTTTCCTGTTCAGTGCGCAGTTCAAGGTAAGATCTATGATGATTTCAATTTGAATTTCATACATTTACTGATTAGGTTGTTGAGCTTCCAGTTGAAATGGAGACTTTTTTTTATTGATAAGCATGGTTAATTAAAATATAAGCAGCCCAATTCAACTGATATTTCAGAACTTCAATCAAGCTCACAAAAATATAGTTTTGACTCAATACAACTAAAATACTGAACTCAGGGAACAAAATGATATTTCATTTGGGATTCTCAAATATATATCTGTTATGTTTGGGAGTACTGAATCTGGATTTGGAATTTAAAGAAAATTGGTTCAAAATTTTAAATGCATTTTCTCCAATTCCAAATCTAATCCGTGCTCGACACAAATATGAAATACTCAGGTATAATCTGTATTAGTGTCCCTTAAAATTGAAACATTTCAATCCACCAACCAAAAAAATCTCCAAACCATCTTAACAAACTAAATAACTATGAATCTTGTATGAATTCATATATTTCAATAAAAATCCGACATAAAAAAAATGAGCAAGAAAATCAATTCTACGGCATAATTTAAATCTGAACGACTCCACAAGATGGTCAAAATAGTAATTCAGTCAACAAATAAGTCATCAAATTGCATATACAAAACAAGTA